ATCTTTGCTATATTAATCTCAATCAAATCATTCTACTATTAATAATAATCAGTTGAATCGCGATCACTGATACTGTGGATGTTTCATTGAAATTCTACTGGTACGGAATTACTTTTTATTGATTCGATGGATGATCGTAATCTAAAACATCACATGCAATATTTTATTTGAATTTTTCTATCAAGCACTTGGAAATGCACTTATCTCAAGTATTTTTATCTCTTACTTTGCAACACTACAGGCTTTACACGATATATCTAAGGTTAATTTTTTGCTCTCGTTTTCCGTCTTTCTCCTCTTACCCACTATCTGAGGAGGTAGAAGGTAAGGAGGTTATTTTCAATTTATATTTTCGCTAAGATCGCCTTTAAAAGTTCTTGGCGATGAATACATGTATGAATTGATGAATTTTTTCTCCTTACGGGATATGCTCAACATAAATTTCAGATAGCCTTAGAATATGTTAATAAATTCGATCGATTGGATAAGAATCGCAAGCTATCGAGTAAGTGTTTATGTCACTTTAAATTTAAGTCACTTCCAAATTCTTTTGAGCAAACAAGTAATTGGACAGACGGACAGATAGATGGATGGATAGATGGACATGCGTAAATCGATTTAGAATTCGATTCATAATCAAGAATATATATATATAATTTGTGGAGTCTCTGACCTCCTGACTTCGTTCTGGGCATTGCTAACGTTTTGACAAAACGAATATACTCCGCATACTTGGATGATGGGCATGAAAAGATAAGTTGAGAGAACGTCAAGCCGTCGGTTAGAGTTCCAAAAACAGCTGGGCAGTAAGTCAAATGTTCGAATGAGTATTTTGTGCGCATTACAAATTGAACTCATTACGTCTAATATTCAAAGTTTCTTTATGACTGTATGCAAGATGAATCCTTATGAAGCATATAATTGTGGTTAAATCTCCAGTTCGCCTCAGAGGCGAAGTGAGAAACCTCATTAAAATATTGTGGATCAAATTTTGTTCCTCTTACATTAGAATAAGTGAATTTCTCTAAAATATTGTACGCTTGCTTTTTGATTGAAATCTGCAACTATTCAGCTCGACGAACCTAGACGTTGTCACGTTTAAAAAAGATTAAACGGCGAATATCTGCAAATCGGAATTTTTCGTAATAATGAAAAATAAACATTTTAATGCTATTCGTAGGCTCTGTCCATTTAAAAAGCATTTTGATTATCGTTTTCTCGTTAATTTTTGCTTTTTAAACTTTTCTTCTAATATTTTCTTTATTATTTCAAGTAAATTGTTGCATAAGCAACTTTGTTTTGAATATATTACAGCAGCCTACTACTTACTACACATGGCCGCATAAATATTAAAGTCTCGCCTTAAAATTACAGTTCATCAATTATTTACTAATTGTTTTTTTCGTTTAATTGCTTTAATGTGCTTCGCAGCAATTACAACCAAAACAATCACTTTTAATTTTTTTGTGTTAACAAAAAAAAAAAAAAAAAAAAAAAAAGCGAAAGCTTTCATTTAATGTCATTGCCTTCGGAAATGTTGTAGGAAATTATGGTTTTATGATCGATATGGACAATAATGAAATTTATGTTAATATTGTTATCGCATATTAGTTACTTAGTTACTTAGTTACTTAATGCAACAACGATCATATCAAAAATGGAAGAATGAAGACACACACACTAGAAATATTAACAATTATTTGTTATTTACTTGATCCTGGCAACTGAGAATTGAGAAGTGATATGATAACTGTATATAAATGCTCCACATTTTTTCCATCACAAATCGTTCAAATCAGATCGTGATATCTTTAATTGGTTTCAATTACTACGAAATTTTTTTTTTTTATATTCTTCGTTAAGCTATACGCTATGATCCTAAATAAGATTCAGATCGACTCGTCATTTACTATAACTTGCAAACGAAATCTTTATCGTTCGGTGATAGGTATAACTGAGTAATAATTTTTAGCCATTGATTTAGTCAAAATAATTAAATTCTGAACTACAATAAAAAATATAAAGAAAAGCTTAAATTGATTAAAAACATAATAAGAATGAAAAGCAGCTAAGAGACTAACATGACTCATTATAGGAACAGGGCATAGATGACCTGGTGTAACCAAAGCTTTACCATAGTGCGAATGAGAGTACTCGTTAAAGTTAGCGCCGAGGAGAACTCTAAGCAAGCGAAATAATTCGCAATTAGTCCGATAATAGTAGGCATAATGCCTACTCGTTCGGGGTGGAGCGTTAATGCTCAATTCATTAAGCAAAACCGGAGAATTCACTTTTCTATTCGACAGTCTAATAATAAAGGACACACCCAATCAAAAGAAATGCAATATTAATTAGTTTAAGGTGCTTCTCATAACGAGGTAAGGTGCGTTGAGCTGAGGTTCTAACCAGAAAGCGAAAATCAATTTTGGATCTATAAGAAGTCCCAAATCATTGAAGAATGCAATATTTTCTAGTCTATAACAATGTACATAATTGTTAGCTTAAGGCCGGGGTAGACTTAGAGAGCGTTTTTCCCAGGTTTAAACACATCGCACTACTTACACCAACTAACAGATAACTCAGTGAGATTATTTAATGTTAATTAATTGAAAAATCATGATATCGTTGGTGAACATTAAAACATTCGAATTTTTTATGTATGAAGGTAGATCATTAATAAACAATAAAGTAAACAGAAGGCTAAGACAGCTACCTTGAGGTATAGCCTACAACAGTTAAAAAGGATCTGTGATCTGCTCAGTTCAATGATATTAAAAGGCAGCCCTATACGGTTGAACTTATAAAGCAGAAGAGAATGTGACACTCTATCAAATGCCTTTGAAAAATCAGTGGAAATTATATCTGCTTGTTCACTTCCTGAAGAAGTCTGAAACGTCTCGAAAATCATTTCTATGAGATTAACCTTAGTAGAACCATGCTGTGATGACAAGATGATTAAGCAAGCAGGCGATTCAAGTTTGTCCGGGAATAGACGCTCAAATAGTTTATGTATAACGCTGTAATTGTTTATAAGATAGCGTCAGGCTTTTAGACGACCGCGAAGCAAGCTTTCCCAAGGCAATGCAGGAACTAACCTATATATGATTATGCTACGTCTAAATCACATCTAAATAATCCCATATATAATATTTTATAATTATATATATTATATGAATCTATTTGAGGTCATCGAAAGTATAAAATTCCTCTCCACTCACTAATACTTGAAAAGCTTAAATTAATTTAGTATTCAAATAACATAAAATGAACGCATCACATGTATCAATGTCATCAAAAATTATTCAAATATAAATCCTTAAGCATCTCTATGTAATGTTAGACGTATCACAAGAAGAAGACTTTCAAAGAAAACGACACCTATGTAGTGTTTGTAATGCTTTGAAATGTGAATAAGAAACTTTCTATGCCTATGATAATTGTTGCATATAATATATTTGATGAGCTAAATAAGCTAAGAACATATTTAGTTATGATTGCCTGTTCTCCCATCTATTCGATCCCTAAATGGATCGAATTCGATTCTTGTCTCTCGGCAAGAGCTCGTAACAAGTCTTAACAACTTTACAATTTCGCTGGTTTTTGTTTTTTCTTTTATATGCACTTTTTAATTGTTAAATCGGACAAAGAAAAATTATTCTATATGTGTGTGTGGAATTATATGAAGAAATATGAGATAAAGGATACCAGTGAAAATTAGAATATAGTTATCCAAGTGATTAGTAATATCATCAATGGTTTCGGAGGAACGAAGCTGTCCAAGCAGAAACCCTCAAGAAAGTATGGAGCTATCGAAATTGTCATGAAACCATCAAATCATCAATTAGTCAAATTATGAGATTTGTTCACAAGATAGGGCACAGAAACGTTTGCGCTGGCATACAGTATCGCATTGGTCTGCTTTGCCTGCCTTTCGATTTCAAATCGATGAAAGCGACTGAGAAAAAGAATTGAAAATAAAAATTTGTTTTTCTACTGACTAACTGATAGCGAGATCATTTCATATATTTCTCCAAGATGGTAGGGCTTGTTTTGCAATTTGTATTTCTATGCGCTGTGCAAACAATTAAGATTTCACCCTGTGGTGTGGTATGGGAATTAAGAAAGTAATGCAAAAATTACTCATTTAGAAATTTTGAAAGAATTTCTCAAATCAATGAATAAATAAATGGATGAAAATTCTCTTTCATAAAGAAATTGAAATCAACGCCACCGCATAAATCTCTTTCGTTAATTCATAAGCGTAAATGAGTTTATGTTACGCATAATAAGTAGTATTTAATATCCACAAATGTTAATAACTTCCACATTTCAATGTAAAGGTTTACCGATTAATTCTTTCTATGAAGCGCGCCAAATAATTTCAAAAATATATTCAAATATTTAATATGATGAGCATGATGTTCGTACTCGCTAAAAGAACTACGTCGCCTGTATTGAGTTTGTACTAATGTATGCTCTTTAAAACAGTTAGCAGTTATTGTTGTTGCCGTTGTTGTTGTTGTTGTTGTTATTGTTATTATTATTATTATTGCTGTTATTGTGCGTAGTAGTAGTTAATAATGTAACTTAAGTGTGGTGTCTTGAGCGAGTTGAAAACGTACAGTATATGCATGTATTTGTAATTGAGGTGCGTTTCATATTATTTAGATATGTGTGCGTGAGTGTACATGCGTGTATGGCTTTTTGCCTCTTCTGCTTTTGAATTCTTAATAAATCAAAGTAAAGAATATAAATTGGGACCAACATACCATCGATGATCGCAGTTAGTATTTTTCAGCCAACGGAGCCTCACTTACAGGTGTGCAGCGAGTGCAAGCTTTGGTCTGACCATAGATAAAATAATTTCACATAATTTTTTTTTTTTAGTAAAAATTTACCGATACCAAATAAGGATTAAGTGAATTTATCAAGTGATTTTCGTAAGCAAGAAAAAAAAAAAAAAAAAAAAACAACAAAAAAAAAGAAGAAAAGAAAAAAACAACAAAAAGAAAAGTTAATTAAAAAAACTCTTTTTTATAAAAAATTTAAATCAAAAATTCACTAAGAGCAGTTTACGCGCAGGAAAAAGTGAAAAACCTCTAGAGCGTCATATATTCAAGAGAACTGAAGTAGGAAAAGCGTTCCTTTCAAAAAGACTATTCTTAATACAATTTATGCTTGAGGAACGACACTGAAAGAGAGAGAGAGAGAATAGAAGGAAATGTGGAAATCAACGTTGCTTTTGATATTTTTCGGTGCTTACTGTTCGGGTGGACCTTTAGGTTTAAAGGTAAGTACTTTTTATATGCATATGGATTCAAAATGCTATCAATGATATCAATAAAGGAAATCTAAATGAATGAATGCACTTCCGTTTTTTTTGCGTTAAATTTTTCATCGAACGGATATATAGGCAATAAATATAATAAACTCTTTACGTCTATTATTCGTTGCTTCCCGACTTACTGCTGTATGCGGCTGGGTAATCTTATATATCAGAGGGAATACGGACTAATTAGAAATTCTAGACACATTCTAACAGAACCGCAGTTAAGAAGGCCGCATTATACTCATTTCTTTTGTATTTTCTTTCTTTATTTTCTTTCCCCTTTGCAAACGAATCATGACAAAAAAAAAAACATTGCATTGGGCTTTCAATTTAATAAGAAGTTATGTTTCGCTTCACATTTGTTGCCTGTCTACTCTTCTTAAATGTACTTATGAGCTCGTATATAATAAGTTTGGTAAGTTATGCATTTTAAGCATTGGAATGTCTCTTTATGGATTTTTTTAGGAATTTTGCATACGTGCTTATGGGACCCCGACCTAAGTGACGGTCTATCTGCCTGCATGCGTTTGTCTCCTCTGCCCGTCTGATTGTCTGTCTGTCTGTCTGTCTGTCTGTCTAACTATTATATATCTTTGTTTTTCCATTTGTCGACTATGTCTGCATTTGCGAGAACAGATGTACAATCTATAAGGCTTTTAAATCTTATAAGGAAAGTAAATAAAGAAACATGGCGAGAGACGGAAGACTTGATGATTACGCGTATGACGAATGCTTTGCATTGAAAATAAAAAATTTCAAGAGAAGAATGCTAAGTTATTCTTAAAGCTTTTTTTTTTCTTTCTTTAGAATTGCGTTTACTATATAAAAAGGAAACGCCTTCAGTTCGGGCATAAGTTAATATGAAAAAGAAAAAGAAAAAAAAAAAAATTCGCGGAAAATTTCAAACGAAATTTCTTCAAGTTCTTATAATTTGACAGGTCGTTGACAGATTTGGGGAACGCCTACGCTATGTCTGCGTGCTATGCTTGCATGCATACACAATGGAAATGCTAACAAACTTAATAACACTATTTACATGGCATTGAATATAAAACATGTGTATGAGCTGATATTAACGGTTAACGGTCTCCGACAGTCTTAACAAAGAATTATTATTAATTGAATAGTCATTGCATTTCAAATTGACATTGTTCTAAATACAATGACATAGACAATTCAAATATAGTCCGAGAAATAAATATACCTATAATAGTTCAGATTCCTTCAGTTACTTAACGTTTCACAGCCGTCGCTACCGTAGAAAAGTCTTTTGCGTAACCCTCTACATAAAACTTTTAAAATGCTCCCATATAGTTACGTCTTCTTAAGGTTATCTTCTCCTAATTTCAAAGTAGCTCACAAGTGAACTTGCCTTGCCATTACTGCTAGCGGACAATAGGAAGCAGGAAGTAGATCTTAGCATTGCGAAAGCAAGTCTTTTCTCATTTATATTAAGAAGAGTTTTTTTTTTTTTGAAAACGTAGCTGTGATACAGTCATGAGCCCACTGACAGCCAATACTTGTCGATGGCCTCTTCTTTGCATTATAAAATGATTTATTTATCGTTATGAGTAAAGATGCTTGACAGCAAAATAGTTTTCATAATTTTTTTTTTCTTAAAGAGTGAAATGAAATGAAAAGTAATAAAGTGATTTTTGGAACTCTGGTTTTGCTCTTTTTCTAAAAGAATTTTCTAAGATAATTTTTCATCTGATAAAATATTTTCACTCATAGTTATTGCACATGAACCTAGATATAATTAACTGATTGCTTTATAATATTAAATTTTGATTTTATTATGCGAGTGCTTTCCGTCCATACTTTAAGAAAACACAAGTAAAAATCTTATAGTCGTCCACGGCTCACAATTACATATTCACTTCTGTCAACTTGATAACTGGCCTGATTCGAATCAATTTTAATCGCTCGCTTCCTTGATGGAAAAAAGTCGACCTACCAAATTTCCTTAAGATATTTTAGAAATTGCGATCTGCAGGCTGAACGCATTATTGCGTTTGGACAGACGGACAGACGGAAAGAAAAGCGTGTATAAAGTGTGTGGGTCTATCCCAAGCCCTACTGGGTTTTGTATACATCCGTACAAATGCAATATATCTTGTAACACAAGCGGCATAGGGTACAGTTAATACAGTTATATGAAATAGTGATCTGTTCCTTATCAAATACAAAATAGTATTGCAAAGGAATTCGCTAACGAATCAGCTAAAGGAGATCATATTCATAGAATGGCATCAAGTTGATGTCTCGCAGATGATGGAGATTCTTTAAATTTTGATTGTTTTGACTTTCGAATTACGTCGCTTTGCAGAATTGATCTGTGTAACTGATCAAATCTTAGTTTCTATTTCAAATGTTGCGATTTGCTAAGCAAAAATGATTAAGAGCTCACTTCACTTTTGATTTTGCCGAACTTCACTTTAATTTATCCATGGAATAGTTTCGAATGATATGAAAAAATGATTTTAGGCGTGGTCAACAAATTTTGGATTTTTCGCATACAGTTGTATAGCATCATAATAAACAGATACTTGGAACTTTGAACTTTTTGTTGCCCGAAAGACGATTTTATATATGACACGCAAAATAAATGCAACACTTTTCAGTCAAGTCATTCATAGTTTTTAAAATACCTTTAATATATAGGTAAGAAAAAGTGGGTACGTGGAACTCTACTAGAATTCGAACATTTTTTATTAACAAAATATTGCTCCTTTCGATTGAATACAAGGCAGTTGTTTTTAACCCAAATACTCGCCAATCCTTCAATAATCAATGTTTTTAAAAAATTGTATATAACTCACTGGCTGTAGAGAAATCACTTAATAGGATAGGAAAAGATTTTCCTTTTCCTTAATTGCAAAATTGCATCTCCAACAGTGCTTGCTACTAAAGATACCTCGCAAAAACGTTTGCGGTATTGCCATTTTTAATAATTTTTCAAAAATATACCGTTTTTAAGACTTTCAAATACGCTTAAGTATTTTGCATCAAATATAATTATTTCATTACATTTTCTTCCATCTCAACGCAATGTCCAAAAATGCTTTTCCACTTAGGCTGCTAAAGTGATGTTACACCCCTTATATCCCTAAATAATTTTCAGAATTTTCGTATTCTTTACAAGCGTAATGATAATATTTTATATATCATATTTCAAGCGGTGGTGGTGATGCTGTTGGTGCCTACACTGACTCTTCGATTAGCAGTAATGGCAAGAGTAAGATGTCCCTCTTTATAATTTGATTATAACATATATTCGGCATCAGATATAATTTCCATTTGACAATAGCGTCTTAGTTGAATCTGTTGGATGAGTAAAAGTCATCGAAATCAAATTTTGAAGACATTAAGAGGAAAAGACACAGACTATAAAGTTATTTCATAGCATGTTGCCTTAAAAGCAAATTTCGATATGAGTTCTTCTGTGTATATTAAAATCCATTAAAAATTATTCAAGTTATTAACTTTTTAAAGTAAAAATATCCAAGTGTGTGATAATATGTTTTGGTTTTTTTTGTTTGTGTTTCTCTTGTATTTTTTTGCTTTTAGTCGTATGTAATTCATATATGAACACGCGCCAAATTTGTGGTGAATTTATTACCCCACCAAGCCAAAATAATCGAACTTTAACTCAGGTGTCTCAGGTGGCATCTCTTAGTTCACTAACGGCCATTAACACAACAGCAATCAATTTCTAATCAAAGAAATTTACTTCCATATGTTAATAAAATTTCACTTTACATCATTGAAATTGACATGAAATTAGAACAGAAGTGAAACTTTTGTATATGTGTTGTGACGGCGGCAACGTAAAAAAAAAAAAAAAAACATATGTGGGTGTAGGCTAAGCAAAGGTAGTTGATATCTGGCAGGTTAATAGCTGCTTGCAGACATTATGAAAACTTACGTGTATAGTCTAGAGTTAAATTTGCAAAACCATTTTATATAGATTATGTGTGAACATACGATTAGTAATCATAATCCACATCCATAAATGTCACGTGCCGGTCGTACGCTACAAATATCACTAACACAATAATATCTTTCAATACAATGCGTATTGAAAGAAATTCAAAAGCTTAATATGTTAGACACGTCTGTCTTTACCAACTTTGTGTATTGTGTGTTTGAACGCTAAGTTAACGAATTTTAATGATTTTCCGTTGATTTCATTTTAGAAGAATATGCCAATTATCCAGCAAAGAGAGATTCCGGCTGTAAAGGAAATTGAGACAAGCTCAGCGGAGGTAACAAATCCCGATATGATGATAATTTCTACGCTGAATTTGCCCAGCAATGCGACTTCAATTAGAGCTGATATTACAGATGGATTCTCGTGCCGGAATAGAACTTATGGCTATTATGCCGATGTCGATAATGATTGTCAAATTTTCCATGTATGCTTGCCAGTTAGTTATGCTGACGGTAAAGAAAGTACTTTTCGCTGGAGCTTTATCTGTCCCGAAGAAACCGTTTTCAGTCAGGTTAGTTCATTTCGCATTATTCATAAGAAAGCTTTCTACATTCCGTGCATATTTAATAGGATTCATTCACTTGTATGCGGCCCGAAGACATGGTTATAACGTGTGAAGAATCATTTCAATATTATGAATTGAATCGGAATTTTGGTGTAGTTGAAAACGAATTGGAACAAAGTATTGAAAACGAATCAATTAATTTCGCCGAAAGTCAACAACCTATTGTTATATCACCGAAACCAGAATCAAATCTAGAACCACAAGCAATACAAATAGCTGACGAAGAATCTAAACCTGTGAACATACCAGTTAAAGTACAAAAACCAAATCGCAGAAAGCCTGGCTCGTCATTTATAACACAAAAAAGGCCTAACCACCCTCCTCAGTACCCTTTACGTAAATTACCACCGGCTCAAGCCGTAATAAATGACGCGGCAGCAGAAGTTGATGCTGCAAACTTGCATGAGGAAGAACCAATTAAGTCTGGTACCATTCAAAAGTTTTCAAGACGTCCTTTACCTTCAACGACACTGAAAGATAAAACATCTCCTTCCTATCCAGAGTCTACAATCGCTCTTCGAACAGAACTTTACAATCAAAAACGAAAACGCCCCACCCTGTTTAATAAAAAAGACACCGTTCTTCCCACGGATACTGATACTGCTCTAATTCCTCAACCACCTCGCATTGAAAAGCCTATACAAAACTTTTCCAAAGTGGAATCTGAATTGCCACACGTCAATGCTCCAGCTGAAATGGCCGACTCGGATTCAGAAGCCTCGGAAACTAAGGAAATCTTTGTAAAACCAGCGTTTGCGGAAATCGCCAAAGCTTCTGATGGCGTTTTATTGGTAGAGGAACCGCAAATTATTGAGCATGAAATCAATAGTGAAGAAGTTAAAGAATCACCGCCAAAGGCTATTGCAAACATTCCCGTTATTATTGCAGAATCTGAAAACACGAAAGGGATTGGAGATTTAGAATCTATTAAAGTGGAGAAACAGAATGATGAAAGAACTCAGGCTAGTGAAATTATTCAAACAGCCAATGCAAATTATAGGCCTGGAGAGAATTTAGATGAAGAGCTTAGCCATACAGGTTCAGCCGAAGGCGCTGAGTATTTTGGTGATCATATATCTGAATTCATAAGACCTTTACCAGATACCCGGATAAAAGATTCTCTTCATCCAGCAGAATCTCCAACCGTATTAGATATTCAATCTCCAAACGTATCCGAAGCCGCTGAAGACATTCAAATTCCTGAAAAGACTCAAGTAACAATAGCAACTACATCTACTGATGAAAATCAGCTTAAAACTGCTGAAGAATCTTCAGTCTCAGCGCAACAACCTTCAAATGAAATAGGAGCGGATGTAAGTTTGGCAACGGTGAGTCAAAATCAGCCAATTGCTGAAGACATTCCGAGTGGCGTAGAGGAACCGCAACCGTCAGAAGATGCTCAAATTGTTGAAGAAATTCCGCAGTCCCTTGAAGAAATTCGAATTGACGAGCAAGCTTCTGCGGGACCGACAAGTTTTGAAGAGAATTCAGAAGAAAGTTCTCCTCCTATACAATCCCAAACTGTTGAAGAAATGGAAGCTGAGAAACCAGATGATGCGCCAGATTCTATGCCAGCTACGCCAGAGATGGCTCAGCAAGATCCTCTAGTTCAGCAAATGTTTGAAGAAAAAATTAATATAGATACCAGTAAACAATCCATGGCAGGATTCAAGCCAGCAGATCCTGTTATGGCTGCTGAAGCTGAAAAACTGATCGTTGATTTTATTAATACATTAAGAAATGCTGATACAGATATTAAGCAAGTTAGCGATTCAGCGCAGATGGAAGATGAAATCAGTGAAGTCATAAAATCTCAAGAAGATGAAACAGATGATGAAACAGAAGATGAAACAGAAGTTGAAAAAGTTATCAAAGATGAAAGACTCGATCTTCAAGAGCATGAAAATATTGATACTTCACAAGATTTGGATAAATCTACCGAAACTGAAAATGCTCAAGAAATAATAAAAAATGTAAGCACAGCCGAAGTGTCAATTGAAAACGATGTACCGCTAAACGAATCCGAAATTAGTGAAGAAGAGAAAATGAAATCTGAAATTGAGGCTAATGCAGAAATAATGAGCGAGTCCGGTGAATCGGTGGCTATGAACGCTGTACAGGATCAAAATTCTGAGGCAGCTTATATAGAATCTGAGCAGATAGATCAACAGCAATCAAAGATCGATAAACCTATAGAGCAAGAAATACAACATACACCGATTGATGAAGACTCCTCCGTTGCGGAAGAAGAAGAAATTCGTGAAAATGAAGTTGCACCCGTGATTAGTAGTGAAAGTGCTGAAGAAACAGAGATCGAATCCGATGATAGTCAACCTCATTTTACTAATGGTTACAAACCCCTGAGTATTGATGATATAGTGGAATTAGTTAAGGAACGTTTAGATCATATGCCCAAAAATGAAATGGAGACTCCAATGCAATTGGATCAAGTGTTAAGTAACATTAACGAAGAAAAAAAAGAAGAAGAAGAAGAAGAAGAAGATGAGAAAGCACATGAAAATAACGCAGAAGAACAAAAACTAAATTTGGAAATACAATCCGATGAAGATATTGTGATGCCAATCTATCATCGTGTACCAAACGATCAAACCATAGCACAAGCGATGAACGCTGAATCGATAATTACATTGGATCAGGCTAATCAAAATGATAATGGGGGAAGTATGGAAAGTGATTTAAACTCCATATCCGAAGCTGATTTGCAATTAAAAACCAATCGACCTTATAGATCACGAAGTATGTTAAAACCGATTTTAGACACACGTAAACGTCGTTTCCTTTTTAAATCTGATGCCAGCTAAGCGGTATTAGTGAGTCGTTGAGATATTTGTGCAGCTAAGCCATAAAACCCGCCCAAAATCTTATTATTTTAGATTTTCTTTTTAGATATTCCCCTTAAGCGAATCGTTTCACTTTCGTTTTCTTTCTCGTCGCCCATTATTTTCGCATTTGGATATCTTACGTCTGACTTAATTAAACTATGGGACTTTTTAATATAAATTATAAATTATTCTTAATTTAAATTAAAATTATAATCTATGTGTTCTAGATTATATATAATGATATTAAACAAGAAAAAAAGAAAAAGAAGAAGAAAAGAAATAAGTCTGTGTAGTGTATTATGGCATGAAATTTTATAAAGTAATTATTTTGAATTTTAATTTTGTTATTTATTTTGCGATTTCAATGATATTTTATATAACTCTGTGAGCATGTCAATCGACTTCTAATAAAGTGGTAAGAAATTTTTTATTAAATTGACCAGAGTAGCGTTTAATTTTTCAAAATAACAGCTAATCAGTTATTTCGGATAATTATTTAACATCACCTGAAATTTTTGAGACCCATTGGTTCAGATTGGAACGTTATAAACGGTAATATAGTGCAAATCAAGAGCAAATTATCAGCATATGTTAATTGGAATTTTTTAAAAGACACTTTTCATTGTTCGCTTATCCCGACGACTGCATAGTCCGTAAGCAATCTCGATTTCGGATTTCATTGAGGATGCGTGTACTGTTCGATAAGTAATTGCCAGACTCTGACAAGTGCATATATGAAAAAAAAAAAAAAACTGAACCAAAATGAAGCGGTATTGAAGTGCCCGTATCTAACTATCTTTACCTAGAAGAGTGACAGGATCAAAAAAAAGCGAGACGAGGTAGTTAGTTTGTTTTTCTATCGTTCACAAGCTCTCTAAAAGCTATTTTCGGGCTTTTAAGAGCTTTTCATTACCTTCTTCGAACCTCTGTAAAACCCATTATACGGATGTGTACGTGATATGCTGTCTCTCCAATGCGTGAGTTTAAGTCTCTTTTAAGATTAAGATTAGATTTCATTTATTCCAGTTTTTTCTTAAGTTTAGGAAAACTTCTTAAGACCTTTTTTATTATACGGATAACGAGCAAGAAAATTTATCTTGGTTTATAGATGCTGCTTTAGTTGTTTCCTGCGACCGTTCGATGTGGCTTGTTTTCCATACCGATCTGCGTGTAAAAATTTCCAATGTTTTTGCTAAATGTGAAGCCAATAGCTTCACCTGTGTGACTTGGAAACTGTTTACCACAACAAACGGACAGATGAACTTGCCTAAATCGATTCAGAAGTTAATGCTAAGCTAGAATATATACATAGTCTAAGGAGTCTGTAATGTTTCGTACTTCATGTTTAGACAAAATGAATACACCCGCATCCTCCAGTAGTGAGTATTAAGGCAATAATTTTGCAAAATTTATTCGCTTTATAAGGAAGAACACAACGAGAATCGGACATGGTAGCCATATAAATGTAGGTTGAATCCTGTAAGAGGAGGTTGAATGATATCGTATACCACATCATTGTTATGGCATAGTCTGTCTTCAAGCCAGGAAATAGACCCTCTTAACTAATACAGGAGTGCTCGATTTATATTCTTTTCTTTCTTATGTTTATTTAGAAAAAACCAGTTTGTTATTATTATTATTAGGTGCTTGTGTAAATTATAATATTAATGAATTAATTATTAATTAAATTATTTACTCTATAGAAAATAATGTACGATGAAGGCAAGGTGAGGACTACCGGTTAATGCTCGTTTTTTCAAAAAGACAAAAAGTTAATTCATTAGAGAGAGAGAGAGAGAGAGAGAGAGAGAGAGAGAGAGAGAGAGAGAAATAGAAAGCGTAAAATTAAATCTGAATAATTTTGTTGGTATACTCTCAAGATTTCCATAGGTTTACCCGGTCTGAATGCCAATCTTCGACTTGTTGAAAGCTATAAGCAATCACAACCTAAATATTTAATTGCGGCAGACATGAGAAGCAGATTGGTGTGCTGCAAATCCCGCCAATGTTCTTGATTTGATTTCCTTGGCGTGAGTTGGATATAGTAGCTGACCTTGAATTAAGATTAACTTTAAAGTAGTGTGGATTGTAATACTAAAAATGCAAATATGTGCAAATAATGCAAATAATAACAATAATATAATTGTAGTATATACTGATAAAATAGAGTTAAAAGCACTTTTTTAAGCTAATATGCGGTTTGTTTTTTTCAGTAGTGACCACATGTTATCCATTCTTTTGATGCATTCTTTATTATATTATCGTAGCTGAATAAGCATACATAAGAAGTCTATGTCCAGCTTTGTCCTTTGAATGAAAAACGAGTTTAAAGAAAAATTATGTAAACAATTGTTTCGCCTCTCAAACTACCAACGACCAATGTACCAAGGGGCAGATGTTATTAAATCGGTACAAAATTTAATTTTGCCGGTTTTACCGGAATGTATATGTATATGTACATATATATATATATGTACATGCATACATACAATACAAATCAGTGATGAATTAATGATGCACATAAAAATCACGAACTGCTTTATGGTGCATATCTAAGGTTCATGAGAACTTGAAGGAAAACTATATGAAAAATGATAAGTAATTAGTAAAACAATAAATGTAAAATTCATTCGCTTTTACTTTGGATTATTAGCTGTATATAATGTATAACTGTTGAAATACAGGAATAGAAATCGTCCTTTCTACTTCTCAAATACAGTATGAAAATGTACATACATAATATATTACATAGATTTGGTAGCATTACAACCTGTGGATAATTGATTAATTTAAAGTCAACTGTTTGGTTGATCATTTTACTATACATACAAATACATATTCGTGTATATATATATATATATATCAGTAACGCATCACATTATTCTTAAATACTTTTAGGTTGATATATATAAAAAAAAAAAAAAAAACATATAATGAGTGCAAGTACTAGGCTTCTGTCTCATCATCAACGCCTGCTGCTAATTCTTCCGGTGAACGTAAATCGATGGCAAACTTTTGACGTGTCGGTGTTATTTTATCATTTTGAATTTCACCGTTCTCTCGAACACGTCGCGAATAATCCTGAAAAGCGGCTGCCAAAGCATAGGTCAATTTCCGAGCCATAGCACGGCTATCGCAAACGAAAGCATGCACTTCAAACGGATGCGAACAATGATCATCTTTGACTAAAATCATGGCAAATACCCGGGTATAGACTAGATCCTGTACACCATACGATATCGTATCGATAGGATAATTCCAATGATTAATGCTGGCTTTAGGTGAAATAATTTCCAAATTGACTCCGTCGACAGAAACTTTTAACTCGCAAATAGGTAAAGTCTTATTTGGCGGTAGATTTTTTGCAGCCCCTACCATTATGTCGACTGGGCGACGTGTATACTTAATCCCCCATAAACCACGTGCAACCTCCGAGCCAATGTATTTAACCTGTTTAATTAAAAATAAGAGCAAAAAAAATTTATTATAGGTAAATGAATGCGAGTTCATATAGAATGAAATTTTAATGATTACATGAATATATGAAACTAAAGTGAGATCAGTTTGTCAACGTTGACCCTATGTTCATTTCCGTTCATTCAACGGAAGTAATAATAAAATGAATATAAAAGTGGTGTTTATGCACGCATTAAATTTACTTGTAGCTCGTATTTATTTATTTATTTATTTATTTATTTTTTTTACAAGAAGTAACCAAGCATGACTTGGCAGAGTTATAGTTGAAGTAGTGAAAAATTCTCAAAATTAAAATTGAAAACTCTATCAGTTAAGGCAAGTGGGATATTAATAGAAAATTCTTCTCTTATATTTTTGCTTATGACATTACTTACTTTAAACGTTATTGGCAAATCGTTTATCGCTACTTGGGCATCGTTGCAATCGTCGATTTTATTGGAAGCCATTGTGATTTTACTAAATAAATTTCCTAAATTTTTTTACTGCTATTCGAAGAACGTTTAGCAAGTCTTTAGCTTTCGTGCCGGTTGACAAACATTAGGTTGGTGGCTTTCTCTTATGTAACTCTGAAAAGTTAAAAAAACAAAAAAAAAAACACATGTGACAAAAAGTACAAAAAGCACAATACATAAATAGTATTTTCTTAAGTGTCTTAGCGAAATGATAAACAACTTCGTTGCACCGCACCGTACCGTTCAAATCAAAATCGATACGAATTCAAAGAAAAGTGAAAGGCACAGACCTTCTTATATGAACAATTTATTTGTTAATATGTATCAAGAAGAAGAAAAAAGCCGGCTGAATATGAAAATGTATTATCAGAATGCTCTTTCGCTTCCTTCCTCGACAGATAACTTTTTAATAGCCAAAGCAACGAAATCTGCGACAGTCAGCCAACGAAAATGCAGGTGACTGGTGATTTTCCTCACAATCATCTCCTTGACGTCACCTGATGCAATTAGAGAAATTTGGTAATTTAAAAAAAAGAAGAACGAAAATTAGTTATGACCCGATGGCTCGTTAACTTAAGATAGTCACTTAATGTACACCGATCACACGCAAAATGCGAACGATCATGCATTTCTGCTTTAATTAATGTCATCTTTATATAAGAATAGAAAATTTCCGAATGAGGTAAATCATTCCAAAAACTCATCATTGTTGGTATATGACGTATTTCGAAAAGCTGGAATTTTTCAGATTCCTTTCTCTAATTTTCCATCAGAATTGTGCTATAGTGCATTAGTTTCTCGCCTCTGGCATCAGTTAACCCATATAATGTACAAAAGGACGTCAGGAGAGATTTAACAAAATTCCACGCTGTATTTGTAAAACCCAGCTTGCAGTCAGAGACCACGTATATATACATTATAAATATGCGCATGTATACATATATATACATACAAAAAATATGTATATATGATCCTTTCGCATGTGGTTGGCTTATCTGCAGATATAAAAGCTACTAAACACTGTTGAGAATCTCTCTCTCTTTCTCTCTCTCTATCTCTCTCTCCATGTCGCTATCTGCCATTATGTTCACTCTTTTGATAAGGTTGAAAATCTCATCTCATTATTATACTTAGAAATTCAATTTAAATTTCATCCAAATATTTTTAACAACATATTGGGTTTACAGCTGTGATTATCTTAAAAAGCGTCCATTAGAAAGGAAAGTAAAATTTTTGCAATTACGTTTACTTTCTTCATATACCATTCACGTGCCATATTGGTGGCGTTTGTTCGTAATCTATTTACATATATACATATATAAAAAAAAAAGAAAAAAAAAAAACCGATGCATAAACATGTTGCATTTAAACGGCCGAAATGCAAGTTTTGCCTAAAGGAGAAAATAATTTTTTTATATTTTTTTTTTTGTAATTTTGCAGAAATAAATTTATATAATAATTAACACTTTGCCAATTAATGATTTCTTTTGTTTTAAATTTATTTATTTATACATTTTTTTTTGATTGTTTTATAAACACTAAGAGAGCAGCTGAAGAATGTTCGTAGCGTTTGTAATTTTGAAAGGAACTAAGAAAAGGATTTCGTACGTGGAGTTGATTTGGCAAAATTCGCGTACACCTTTTGTTTGTTTATCTTGATACACATACACACACACACACACACAGTTTCAATTTGAAAGTGGAAAGAAGCCGCTTACAATAGTTGAGACAAATTTTGCGAAAAATTAAAGCATCTTACAATACAGCCTCGTATCATTCGTTAAGAGATTACGAACTGCATAAGATATCAATGTGAAATTCATTATAACTATATTTTTAATGAATGATTTTAATCTTTTCACTTGTGTGTGTGTATGCGTGGGTATGTGTGTATTCTATATAACACAAAGGTCAAATTTGAATGTTTACCTGTTGGTGATGAATACCTCAGCTTAATTCTAAGGAAACTACAACTTTTGTTGTTTTTTTTTTTTTACTTTTGCTTTTAATTAATTTTGATTCTTACGCATAAAATTTAAATTTAATTTCTTTTCATTTTGAAATTATATCATTTCTTTTTTTGTTTTTCTTCGCAAGCAAATTTATTTAATATGATGTTTTTTTTTTTTTTTTTTTTTTTTTTTTTTTATATATTTCTTGTAAATATATATGCGCATGTGCATGTAAACATTATGTTAACATACAATAAAATCACAAATGTCTATCTTAGCGAGCGATCCGACATTGCTGTTTTACACTACTCACTTATGAGGCAACTGCAAGTATTGTTTTCGTTGCTCTATAGCTTGCGCGCAGACGTAAAAGCTTATGCGAATGTTAACATGCCGTCACAGTTACCACGCTGATTACTACTGTGATGAATGAAGTTTTACTACAGGTTAAAAATAAAAAAAAAACAATAAAAAGAAAAATGATAGGAGAATATAAAAAAATAAAAAAAACAACAATACAAACAAAAAAAAATTGCTCTATTTAGCTGCGGGTATTTGCTAAGTTTTGATGTTATTATTGTTACTACACTCGGGCAACTAAAATGTAGGTTTTCGAAAATCCCCCAAACAAAGAGGGTATGCCAGAATATAATGCATATAATGCATAAGCGGGACATATATATATATATATATATATATACACACATATACATATATGTATATATGCATATATATATATATATACATATATGCATATACAAAGATATATAGGCAAACAATAGCATGTACATACATAATAGATGCCCATTCATGATCATGATGATAATGATTCAGTTTCACAATCGGAAATAAAATAATAATAAAATAAAACAATACTACAAGAAACTTTCATGTATATACATTTTTCAAAGCAAATCGCGAATACCCTACAGATAATTGATATTGTGCGTTAAGCAATTCGCAGCTTATTGGTGAAAATAGTTTAAAATAAAATGCAAGCACTTTTGTGATTTTACGATTCTTATTGAATTTGATGAGCGAATTAATGTCTTTTGATAATAAATTTTTGACACTCGATGAATCGTATTATCGACTAGATGTCGAACGTACATTTAGGTCGAAATGGGAAAAATGCATGAATATTTTCTTTTATTTTGTTTCCAAGTATTTTTCACGTTCTACATTGCTACAGTTGATCACACTTAAACAATGAGGACAAACTGTCAAAATGTTTTTTATTTATTTATTTTTTTTTTTATTTTTTTCTTTTATAATAATAAAGAAGTTATGTTTAGCTTAAGGCGAATCTTGCGTAGCGATTGAATTCCTTCCGCCATTCGCTGTGTGATCAGGAATTGCCTGAGTTTTATGTTTTACATGATCGTCACACCTAACGTCTATCCACATTGCAGTGAGCTTAAAAACTTGCCTTTTGAATTGCGATAATTTCCCAAATTTCTTCTTATCTCTTTTGATATTCTTCCGGCCATGAACTACAGATATGTAAAGAACAAAAATTTATTATTATCATTAGTTCAGATCGTTCGTATATTTACGAGATGGTGTGCACGATCATAAGGAACCGAAAACTTTTGAATTCGATATTCGTATGATGTCGATGAAAGCTGACGAAGTCGCAGAAAGCTCACGAAGTCATTGGACATTTTAACGTAAGGTAAGGCAGTGAAATGAAGTGAGTCAGGTTCCTTTTAACGAAAATCTCTTTTTATATATAATTTTTTGTGTTGTTTTTACAATTCCTTTGTATTACACGCGAGTTTTGTGTGTTTTTTTTTGATTGTTTTCACCATTTCTTTGTGTTACAAGCGCGATGATATATTTTATAAATTATATATAATAATAATAATAATAAAAAAAAAAAAAAAAAAATAAAGTACACAAACAAATAAAAATAATAATAATAAGAGATAAAAAAGTTAAGATAGTCTTTGCACACGTACTGCATGTTCACTTATTTGTTATTAAAAAGAAGCGGAGAAAAAAAGAAAAACTTTAATAACAACAACAGAGAATGAGTCAGAGAATATGACACTTTGTGGCAATGACGAGACTTATGGTTAATACATAGAATAAAGATGAGTGTGAGCACGAGACGCAATATATAATCATAATTTCTTTAATACACGACTCAATGTATATATAATCTCTTGCTGATAGACGATAAAGAGACAGACAAGTCCATAAGTAAATGATCATAAAGCATATAACGGTTGAGGAAAAAAAGGTACAAGTTATAAGTATTTATGTCAAATCGTGGTTAATTACAATATTTATATATAACGTAACATAATATCAGACGTTTAATAATTTCATTGGATAGCAAAAACCTTAATCACTTTTATTGAAGTTTCCCTTCAGTGCACATATTATATATTATGCCCATAGTTCATGGTGTTGTGTGCGAATTGAACTCAGATTGGTTTTTAGTGAAAGCCAACATTATATGGATGTGGTTTGTATGCTCACACCACCTCTTAAATTGGAAAATGGGATTTGAAAATCTTTTCTTTTTTTTTTAATAAGATATCACTTATCATTTAAAGTTCAATCATGTTTTAATTGCTTAATTACTATCTACTAATTTGTTTACTTTCTTGTTTAATATTATTATACTTTAAATGGATATTTTTTATTTATTTTTTTATTATTATTATTATTATTTCTTTTTTTTAATGTAGTACTCTTCGAAATGCATGCAGGAAAAGTGATAAGGTAGGTTACGCGGTCTGCCAACATATTAGGTTTATTATGACGTTTGCAACGTTTCAAAATATTCAGTGAGTTCACATTTTCCGAATGAATGAGTTCATGCGCCAGCCTATTGGCTGGCTACTTCAGCCGTTTATCAATTCAATCGTATGTCGATTTGTTCGTCTGTACATATCTCTGAGTATACCATGTGCGTAAATCTAACCGTTGTCCTTTCCATATAACCATATCAATATATGGATCTTTGAAATTACGTTTCATATATCAAGCTTGTATACGGTTGTATGATGTACTTTTGAATATAATTAAACATAAAATACAAATCTCGATATTGAGTATACGTCGACCGTAATTTGATTATGTTCAACTACTGCTACACTCAATGAGTCTTATAGTGGACATCGGTGTAAATTTGTGTGAATTATTCATCAAATGCTTGCAAATGTTTTAGGAAATGTTATTACGGGTATAAGCGAATGTGAATATTACTTAAGGTGAATAGGCGTAAAAGACCACCAGCTTGACCACCACTGTGATGGTTGTATTTTTCTTTTATGTTCCCATCTTTCTCTGTTTCCTTTTGTTTCAAATTTTTGTTTCTTTTCAGAAAAACAACAGATTGAAACAACAATGGCATGAACGGATTCCGCTTGTAATCCGCTTCCGGATTACCGGACAAATGATGACAAACATTCTGAAAATCTTTAAAAACAGTGAATAATTAATAAATGCGGATCACTAATAATGCTCTCATCAATGGCTATAGTAAGTATTCTTTTCACTCTTTGCGTTTCATGCGTGGAAGAACATTGAAAATTTTAATTGAAATTTGTATGAAACGATCATGATGTTTATTGTGCCCATGTGTATGAAGCGTTCATTATGGAACTTTGATAAAAAAAAAAAAAAAAAAAAAAAACAACAAATAATTTATTATAATTATTATTATGATTATTATAATTAATTTAGCCAGAGAAATAAATTCCAAGACCAAAGGCTTAAAGCACAAACATCTAAAGGCTATCGGTTTTATTGCAGACTCTATCACAAATAAATAAAATTTGTATTATGAAGAGATTATTGTTTTCATTTCATCGCTATAACTAGTAGGATATGAAAAGTTGAAATGCCAATGCCAATGAAACTGGAACAAATGTCGCGACATTACGTTCGAAAGAAGCAAACATAAATAGAACATGCATCAAAGATAATTCTCTTCTTTTTTTTTTTTTTTCATTCTTTATAAATTTTAAACAAGAAGAAGATTGAAGAAGTGAAAATAAATGAAAGATTTCTTATATAATTGTTGAGATGATTTGTCCGTTTGTTCGTCTGTTTCCTGTTAGTATTCCGTGAAACTATGAAAACGATGATAGAAATTTCCAACGCTTTTTTTTTATTTATTTTTTTTAAGGCAATTGAAGAGAGTAAGTTTTTGGACAATCTACTAAGCTATGTTCAAACATGTCGTATATTGAAGTAATCTGCCGATCTGTAATGAGCCGATTCGTCGATTAACCCGTTTATAGTATATAATAAAACATATTATTATTTTCGATGCTTTTTTCTAATTTGAGGTGACACACGTATGCGACACATGGACTACAACATTCAATTTTTATTTGTAGCTTAACGTCACATATTTGTTTCCAACATGTTCCATCTTGGATGGACGTTTTTTTTTTTTGCCCCAGTGAGCAAACCATATGTTTGGCCGAAATTTGGTATGTGTAGAGATGTGTTTAGCGACTCGAAAAGGAGTCGAATTTTATAGATACTTTCGTTGCATGCCGAGCACCTAGACCTGATATGCTACGTACTGAAGAATTATTTAAATTTTCGACTTCAATTCGATACGAAATTACATGGCATAGCGGAATTAGCCCCCAAAGGATCATTTATTTGTATTAAATATATCTGTTTAGTGCACGTATATTTTGACTTATATACGCCTATATATTTAATGTATATTTCCAGGAGTACATTTAGTTTAGTCATGATTGAGCTCAACATTTTCTTTTTTTTGATTATTAACTTTTTCCGCATATTTGATGGTAGAGGGAAAGCAATTTTTAAAACAAAAAAAAAAATGCATGAAAAATTTTTTGAAAATAAAATTAGTTAACTAATTAGATTTCCTATGTACCGTTACGTAAAACTCTCTTCTTATTAGGTGCTATTTCCAATACTCCCTGTGTAAGCCTCGTGCCACTGGATTATAAATAGTTTAACGGATTATTTACAAAATTGGTAGGGTTGCTTACAAAAAATTATATAGAAAGAAACTTCTCTATGGCAATTAGAGATCACATATCACATATCATAAAACAACTCAGTTGGTTTGCTTTTTATAAACCTTTCGAAACAAGTCGAGAACGCCATGTTTTGTTTGTACTGGAATTATTCCACATTTTGTTAAATTTTTCTTAACAAGCCAACTGTTATTAATTCGCACCTATATAACGCGTCATTATTCCATGAAGGAGTGACAATCATTATTTGCTTGCGTTAGGCAGTTTTTTATGTGAATCCATTTCGCCAATTACAAAATATTCATAACTATATTTAATGGTAATCTTTAATGATGAGCACAAAGATATCCGCCTAAGATTATGTTTATATTGTTACATATAAATGTATACATAGTTTGGAGATTGTACGCGTGCGTGTAGAAAATATGTACATCTTATTTATAGGGGGAAATGTATTAAAGAAAAGAGTTTTTCAACTTTCAAGTTAACCAAGTCTTGCTCTTTCTTATATACGTATATACGAGTGTGTGCAATTCAATGAAAATGAAGTGTTCATTTCTCTCATATGTGATTATTCAACGCAAGGGAAATTTATGTAATAAACAGATCAGAGATACGAAAGAAAACGTTATTCGGTTTGGGGCGCATTATGGACATCCATCATTTTAAACGGTTCGGTTCCTTAAGAGCGTTTAAAGTAAATTTCGGATCCTGTAAGTCATAAATTCTTGCTATAAACGATGACTTAAACAATTCGAATTTCTTATATCGGCTAAGAATGTTACCCTATTTAAGAAAAAATTTGGCGTAAAACGATATAAAGTTCCGAATATAGCACGAGTAAGGCTTATTGCATTGTACATGTAACGCGTAATTGACATTTAAAAGTGATGCCGTAATGAAAGCATTATCCCTGTATTTGCATACATTCAGATATTCATATAAATATATTCATATATTCCTATTATTAGACAATCATATGTTCAAACATTCATCATGCGTGCCATACATTTATATATTCATATTTTCATACATTCATATGCATATACCTGCATATTTTCATATATTCATAAATTGTTGCATCTAAACGTTCATAGATTTATACATTTTTATATTTATACATTCATATATTCATACGTTCATGTTCACAGGTTAATAAAAGCATTCATTCATGATGCACTCATGCGTTCATGGATAGATTTACATATTCATATATTCATAGTTTTACATATTCACATATTCACTTATTCATATATTCACATATTCACTTATTCATATATTCACATATTCATATATTCATAGTTTTACATATTCATATATTCATAATTTTAGATTTTCATATGTTTCTATGTAATCAGGTACTTGTATATTAATGTAATGTATTTCTATAACAATATATTCATATATTGAAATATTGAGCATGCATATTATATATACATATTTATATATGAATTTATATTTCTACATTCATATATTCATACATATATACATTGATAATATTCACACATTAATAGAGACTTTCATTCGTATACTCATACATTGACGTACTCGTGCATTTACGGATTCATATATTCATCCGTTCATATGTTCACGCGTTCGTTCACTCATGTAATTCCCTATTCATATAGTCATACATTCATATATTCCTACAGTCATATATTGATGACAGACGGGATTGAAGACTTTATGACAGACTTTTATCAAGTATCAGTTCAGTTTGTAATACTCTGATGTCATCGTTGTACATTCGTATAGAGTTTGATTTTACTGAATGGTTGGAGCATGATTTTAAAGAATTTCTATGCAATTTTTTATACGCAATATATGGCAAACAACATGATGAAGTTAACATGTTCACCGATATATGAGCCATAATGTGCAAACATTATTTGTTTATATAAGCGGTATATTGAAGTTATCTATGTCCGCTTCCTAGTTACCGCACACCAGATATTTATTTTATGTTTCTTTTTTATATGCTACCAAAGATAATATTTATCAAGTGCTTTTCTTTCGAGATTTATATAATTATTGTTATAATATTATATCAAATAGGAAAAAAATTTGTATTAAACTTACAAAATTTACTTTCAAGATGTGTCAGTAGAAGACTTAATACTCGAATCTAAAGCAAAAGATTTGTGGTCGTGGTGATGGATAATGCAAAGTTATATTAAATTATGTCTACCTTTGTACGCCCGCTACAGCACAATTACTTTAAGATCTATCAATTTTAAATGACTTTAGATTTCGTAACGACTTAGTAACCATTCATATCTTCATCTCTTATAAGAACATTCATAATAACGGAAAAATTATGATTAACAGTTGTTAGAGTGACGGAAGATATTGACTTGGTACAATTATTTACTGACACCATATCAATCGCGTAATTTAAATAAAATTCACATATACCCCTCAATTCTCTTAAGCACAATGCTTTCCAATTTTTATATATTGCCGTAAGACAATGAGTATTCTGGATCTATCTGATTATCGAGTATAAGTTTTTTCCCTTGAATTTTGCTTCTACTTTGAAAATTTGCCACAAGTCACATCTACGCAAGCTAAAGTCATTTGGTAGAAATTGTTTTGCTTAACTTTTATTACATTATAAGATAAGAGTATCTCAGTAAAACATCGATAAGAGTGTCATGCGTTCTCGAAACGAGAAAATGTGAGTTTACGAAAACCATATAAAACGCATATAAAATATATTCATAGCAACGGCTATGTGTATGTTATTTACGAGCGAAAACGTTTTGAAGAGAAGACGAAAACAGGCAACTCATCAGCTCGGACTATCCAATCACGTCAAACGAATATATACACAACGTTTTATGTATTCGTTATAGAACAAATCGTTGACAACTCAAATACGTACCTTAGAATTGGGAAAGGCTTCCGTTCTGACCGGTCTGACCGTTAATTTTACTCTGGAATTGCTTGTACCAGTAAGGATAAAGTCTTTTGTGGGCGTATAAATAAATGTTGGTCATATATTTTTTAGAAAAGTTTTAGACGTTCCTCGTAAATGTTTGGTTCGCATTTCAAAGCAATTTTCTTTATAGATTAGGAAGCATAAAAGATTGAGTAACAATGGAAAACGTGCACGTTACATTTAGCCGTCAAAAAAAAGATGAATGAAAAGAGGAAAATTATAGCGTTCAATGGGATTGGTATTCAATATTTGCCATTGTTATATGCTACGTTCTCGAACGCTTATTTTCCTTTTCTTGCAGACACGTATATCGACATATGCAGACGCTCAAGCACAAGCGTTGCGTGTATACGCAGGCATGCAAGACTCGTTTTCGTTTATATCATTTACGTGGATGTTGTGATGTATGCTATCCTATACAAGACTTATACATTGCCTTGCACAGCATTATTCACTGATGTTTTCAAAACGTGAATGCTTGCATGATAGTGTGGTGTGAATGCCAGCCTAAATTCCTTCATTTTCCTTCAGCTTATTAAGGCATCTATCGAGTTTACGGATACCATCTCATATTCGAATATTCTAATAGAATCCTGCACTGATTAATCTTGAACTTTTTTCTTATTCGTTCTTTCAAAATTAAAAAATACACCTTCATACACTTTCATACTTCATATATTCAGTTCTTTCATTCTACAAAATGAATATGCAAGCATTATCAAAATTATTATTCATTTCATCTTCTTTCTGTTGGATTGACTTGTGATGTTTGACGAGCAATTATTAACGCTTTGGTATGGAAACAACAACTAACTGGAGCACGTTTTGGTTTTTCGGACTTTTTCGGACTCGCCCGAAGTGATATAAAGTAAACATGTGGATATCTGATAAAACAAAGAGAGAAATGTAAATTTCTTGAAATAATGACAAAACATCAATACATGGATAGATTTTTCATCTTCCATACGTTAAAGCGGCATTTTCGTCGCACTCTCTATTGAACACGCAGTACAAATGCACGCTCAATACAGGAGCCAGTTTACAGAACTCAATATTGAATATGTACTCGATACGACAGTCATTTATGTTTTGGTTTCGCTTTAGTCGCTTTATTTAGTACCTATCGTACATCTGATCATTTTCCGCCAACAAAAGCACATGTTCGTACTTCTATACTTTCTATTTATTTATTTATTTCTTTATTTTTTTCAATTTATTATTATTGTTGTTCTTGTATTTATATTAACTTTTTCGCTTATGGTTCCATTTTTTGCTTATGACATCACTTTCCGCTTTTGATTTTACTCTTTGGCCTACGAATCCTGTCGGCCAGTTCAGAACTCAAAGACCCCTATTCACTTGGCCATTGCGATAGCATATTTGATGTCATTCTCTTTGTCACGAATACGTGTTACAGGTCGATGTTGAAATTTTCACCAGCTTTTCTTCTACATCATACATACAAATTACAGTTTATATTTTATCGGTATTTTACGTTTGTGCGGGTGTATGTAATACCAAAAAAAATTTTGTTATTTTTTAGTAAAGTAGTAGTCGATCTGGAATCATTTTCTAAATCGATTCTAGCGTTTTTATCTATCTATCCATTTGATGTCTATATGTGCACACTCGCGTTTTATGCCCTGAGACCGGATAGGCTGTTCGCATGAAACCTACTTTGGAAAAATTGCCTTTTTTTATATTTCTCGAAAGAAATCGGCAAAAACTACTACCTGACCTATACAGGTGCTTACATGGTATTAATCCCGATATGTTAACAAATTTCAAGTTTTATCATTTTACGATAGAAATTGATTCAACAGAAATTAGTGAGCATATAAATCCACTGGAGTAAGCTTGAATCATATAGGTCTATTTGTTAGACCTCTTTCTAAATGAGCCTAGTTGTGAAAGTATGCCTTTATTACGGATAATTTTGGATATCTTTTCCGCGGATTTTTTAATAAAATTGAACGGTGGCTAAGTAAATAAGTAAAACTCGAGCTATTCAAAACTTAAAAGGGACTTGCATAACTTACACTTACACTGTTATGTAATGCTTAGAGATGTTATTTTCCGCCGTAGGGCAATCATAATTTTGTTCATTATGCTGTCGTACTCGTTACGTTTTCTCTTATAAAACACTGGCAACTTATCCAAACTACCCTGAAGCCTAAAGTCAAGTTTTTATCTTAACTAGTTAACTAGTCATGCATGATATTATATTTTGCCGACAAGAACGTCTATAAGCAAAATATATTTCAAATTTTTGATCATAGGGCTCGCAAGTAAGAAGAAGAAGAAGAAAACAAAAATATATTGTTACAAATTATTCAAAATAAGTAAAGTGCAGATATACATATGTAGAAAATGCTTTCCGGTGACCGGGACCATAATAATCAAAGCAACACAATGTTTTAATTAAGCACAAATTCATTCTTATTGTTTCTATACCGTACACCACTTATAGTGTAAGGCATATTAAATTTATGCAGATGCATGTGAAATACATAGAGAGATTAAGATAATCATTCTCGTACTATACCGATGGATTCATAATCACATTTCCTTCTTTCTTTCTCTATCCGTCTGATATTCGACCAATTTTCTGAATGTTGCAAGTGACGTGCTTTGATCCAACAACGAATCCTATTGAAAATTAAATTGCATTATACCATTTTTACGGTGACTCTCGCGATAAAACGCCTTCTTTTAAAGCAATCGTTACATGAAGAAATTCGAAATTCTCAGAATTTCTGGACAAAGTTCGCCGATTAATAGTACTTCAGTCTATTAAGTTTCTGTCAAGCATTTGGATCGAAGGGAACAATATTTTTAATCTTCTTCTTCTTCTATGGCAAAAACATTCAAAAATTTACTGACGAACGCTGGAACGTGAAAAATATCACATTACTTGCAAATAAATGAAGACTTGTATTAAACGAAGCTATGCAGGGTATTTAATGATCGACTCTGTCCGCCTATAATGTTTGTACTTTTTTGTGCTTAATCAAATTCAAATTAATTTCACGCGGTAAAGCGAATGCATACAAATGGGTCAGTGAATAGTGTCAAACGTACAGTTAACTATCTAACTGACGATTTGGTTAGTTGGTTAACTTTTTCTTTAACGTTCAATTTCGTCACATTTATCGTCAGAATGCAGCTGTTTAGTTGTTGTTTGCTTTTCGTTGGTAAACTGTTGACTGCCTTTTCATTGCTAAGCATTACCTTTTTTTGTTAATTTGTCTTTTGGTGCTTTTTTTTATAATTTATTGTGGTCTTATTTTTACGCTTTGTAAGTAAATGTATACTCGAGGCACATAAGTTTTGTTACTCTGCTTACATAAGTGTCTTTCTAATTAGCGTGAGAATTGAAGTCAATTAAGTAATGTCCGTCTGTCCATCGGTTTTATCGTTTGCTTGGTTGCTTGCGTGCTAACGGAACTAAGAACCTATGAAAAGTTAAAACAGATAATTAGAACGCATAGATAAATACACATATACACGCTTATGCATAATGACTGTTCGTAACAATTTTTTTGATGCACAACGAATGCTGTTGCACTGTAAGCCGCAATTACACGTAAAATGGAAAGAAAAGTGTTCATACGATATATTTTCGTATGTAGTACATACCAATAGATAGATTAGATATGCAGATAGTGACTATAATGGGCTAGCTAACGATCGTCCCATAGCGGTGAAAGTCCTAAGTAAAAATACATTTTAATGCGTTACAAGTTTGAACTTCGGCTTTAGGTACATTATTCTTAATGCAAAACGACACACATACACGTACGTGCAGACGACTATGAACATATATTAGTGTTCACTCAGGTATGGAAACGTATGTAATGCATATGCGGTATGTAGTACCACGGTGCACAATGGTTCGTACCTTTGCATAGATATTTATTAAGTCAAAAATTTGCCAAAGAATGATTATAAAAGCGATCGAAAGATTGGCAAAGCGTCAAATAAGCCTAACACAATATATTGATATTTAATTTAGGTGACATATTATATATATATATATATATATATATATATATATAAAGCGTATATTATTGACTTATTTGTTTTATTTTAACGCTGAAACTATTCACGTACTTCTAACGTTATGGGTCACTTTACCCCACCCCCCAAAGATAGATGCAATTTGTCCATATATCTATTTTTTGGACTATTTTCGCCTATAACTTTCGATACCGTAAAGGTATAACCAAACATCTGCTACCTACGTGTGTTACGTTAAAATCGCCTGCATATTCAGGTAAAAAACACACATAACGATAAAATTTTAATTTTCTTTACTATTAATTTTTTATTTATTTGCAAGCGGATGGTGCTAAGATGCATTAGAATAAATTGGAAATAAGTTGGCATGAAAAGTTTGTCGTCAATTCTGAACGAAGTAATAACCGTACCTATTGTGTCCATTTTGGACTGGCGAATACTTAGCAAGCAAATTTTTACATATATCTTTACAGTATCGAAAGTTATAGATAAAACTATGGAGACAATTCGGCGTTGTTCCCGAAGTTGTTGCACTTTCAGTTTCCATATTACAGGCGTGCACCTAACA